AACATTACTGAACTAAAAAGAAAGGTCCGAGAAACTCGTGTACCCACCCCTTTATCATTATCGTCATGGTCCTCATTAGCTAGCGCTTTGATGAGCAGGCTCTTCAGATGAAGGGACCCGAGGGACGAATCAAATCGTTTCTCCAAGAAGAGCTACCTGCATCTAATGCATTAATAGCTAAACAAACAGAGCAAGTTCTGGATCTTGAATGTGAGTGCTGGTTGTAAGAGGACTGACCCTTAAGTTCGACTTAAGTTATCCAGCGAGGTTGCAAACATATCCAAGCCAAAAACGATGTCGCAGGTGATCTACGAATACATGGTATTCCATTTTTACATAATGAGAATCTTCGGACCCTTTTAAACACGCTTTGTTTTTCACTTGGAATCACACCAACGCTAAAAACAAAGTCTATATATAGAGTTTGAAGCAAAATTCAAAAAATTCGCGACACTTCTGCGAGGGATCGGTGCATATCGTTGTGCTTATAAGCAACCCCTAAATCTCCAGCTTTTGGGCTTTGAGGTTGCTACGCCGTTCTATGTAAATGAGCAACTTACTCCTCAGAACTACTCCATTTTTAAAGAAGCGATGGTGGTGTGTAGGTTACGCTATATTTTATGTGGAGCGCTTCAGTTTGAGTTTGCTATACCAGTTTCAAGATCGGAGATGAACTCAACTTAGAAATATCAGAGACTAGCAGCCATGCAATGATTAACATCCTTAGTAATCGCCATGAGGGGCTTAAGGTATGCCACATCAATGCCCAAAGTTTAGCTAATGATAAATTTAGAAATATGTTTGTTCAATCTAATGTGGATGTCATTTGTGTTTCAGAAACATGGTTTGTCCCGGGTATGTCTGATTTTATCGTTGAGTGTTGTGGATATAAGTTATTTAGATCTGATCAGTGATGGCCATGGAGGGGGTGTTGCAATTCATATTCCTAAAAGACTGAACACAAAGTTTATTTGTAGCCAACAGGATGGCAGCGCTATTGAGTATGTTGCAGCTTTGTTATTATTTTCTGACATTGTAATAGCGCAGCGAGTTTCGGTTTCACACGCACGAAAACCTTAACGAAACTACTAGCGTCATCCCTTCATCTCTCCGTGCTTACCACCGAACCACACTCGGCGACAGCGACACAATGCTGTCGCCCCGCTAAAACGGCGACAACACGCAGACAACCAAACAAAGCACCGTTAGAGTCTGATGCAATATTACTAAAATACTTTGTTACCATTCAATCACCTTATAAAAGTTTAATCAAATTTAACTTTAAATTTTTCATCTAAATCTATTATTTCTATTACAAATAACATCTTTCTATTGATACAGCTCTTTATCATTAACCATTTGGGCTTCTCATAATCTTATCTAATGCGCCACACGCCATGACCAAAACAATTGTTTTGCACTTGTGCTTACATTATTATTACAGATTTATTATTAACTCATAAAAACAACTGTACTGTCTCTTTCAACGGTTTATTTTTACATGATTTCAGTACTGTCTCTTTCAACAGTGTCTTTTTCCTTCCTATTGATACAGCTCTTTATCATTAACCATTTGGGCTTCTCATAATCTTATCTAATGCGCCACACGCCATGACCAAAACAATTGTTTTGCACTTGTGCTTACATTATTATTACAGATTTATTATTAACTCATAAAAACAACCGTACTGTCTCTTTCAACAGTTTATTTTTACATGATTTCAGTACTATCTCTTTCAACAGTGTCTTTTTCAACTAATTCATTACTGTCTCTTTCAACAGTGTCTTTCAACTATTTCATTATTGTCTCTTTCAATAGTTTCTGTTTATTTTTTTCATTACTGTCTCTTTCAACAGTTTATTTTTACATGATTTCATTACTGTCTCATTCAACAGTTTATGTTTCAATTACATTATTTAAATCCTTATTACAACTTTCAAATTCAACTGGTATTTGAGCATTTGGCATTTTTCCTATGTCATCTGAGCATATTTATATTTTCTATTAATTGTCAAAGACCTGAGCATATATCTATCCCCCTCTCACAATTCAGTTATTTGAAACGGCCCCCTAAACTTTGGATTCAACTTTGTTTGATGCCTCTCTTCATTTTTTAACAATACGAAATCTTCAACCTTGCATCCAACAATTTTAGCCTTGTTTTTATCAAATTGTTATATGTTGCTGCAGCTGGAATATTTTGATCTTCTCGTGTTCGTACTTCTGCCAGGTCGACCTCTTCTACCATATCGCATGGTGGAAGCAACCCCAACGGGCGAGCAACTTTGCCGATAAACAATTCAAAGGGGCTTGCTTTTGTCACTCGACTTACCTTAAAGTTCAAGGCTAATTGAAATTCTCCTAATGCATCTTGCCAATATCGATTGCTAGTTTCAACGGCCGTTAATAAGTTCTTTAAGGTGCTCATAATGCGTTCAACTTGACCATTAGCCCTACTTGCACCTGTCGCAATCAAATGCAAATTAATTTTTTGTTTTGAACGAAGCTCACTAAATCTAGTGCTGGCGAAACATCTGCCTGATCCGCTACTATGCGATTTGGTACTCCAAACAGAGAAATTTCAATTTAGTGAAAGCGTCCACCGGAACAATGATATATTCCTTTTGATCAGACTTGCCACTCAATTTCCCAGTTATGTCGATGTGAATGGTGTGCCAAGGTGTATTTACTTTTGGTATTGGATGAAGACTTACTTGAACTTTACCCGAAGAAGACTTTGACATTTTACATGTAATAGTCATAGGCCTTATCTAAAGTCTTCTCCCATCCCAAATGCATGATGGACTCATGAATTTGATTTATTACGGACCATCTAAATGGTCGAGAAACAATATATAAGGTTCGAGTTCTACCATTTCGCTGAATTTTTCGATACAGTATTCCTGCTCTCAATTCGTAAGTTTTAGCAATGTCCTCAGCAAGAGAATTTTCTTTCGATTTATTTACAATATTAACTATTGACGTGTTCGGCCAAAAGCCAATTGTCAGATATTTCCGCCAATTTACTCGTTTTTCTAGAGTTTTGCAAGTCAATTCTGCTGATGGCTGATTTCTTGAAAAGAAGTGAACATGAGACATTCGTTTGCCTTCTTTATATTGTATGTCAAATGTAAAGGACTGTAAATACGCCCACCATCTTTGTACCCTGGGACATAGATCCTTTTAAGTTCTTGATGCTTTAAGTGAGTTACAATCAGTGAAGACAACAAAATTTCTACCCAATAGATAATGGCCAAAATGTTTTATAGACAAAACAACAGCAATCGTTTCTTGTTCATGAGAATGATACCGTGATTCAGCTGGAGAAGCAGCCTTACTATAATATTCAATGACAAGAGACTTGTTGTTGATTTTGTGTAACAAGATGGCACCGTATCCCCGAGAACTTGCACCAGTATGCAACTCAATCGGATGATTCGGATCCAAAATTACTAAAACTGGCTTTTGTGTAAGGTAGAAATAACTTTTTTAACCGTTAGAGTCTGATGCAATATTACTAAAATGCTTTGTTACTATTCAATCACCTTATAAAAGTTTAATCAAATTTAACTTTAAATTTTTCATCTAAATCTATTATTTCTATTACAAATAACATCTTCCTATTGATACAGCTCTTTATCATTAACCATTTGGGCTTCTCATAATCTTATCTAATGCGCCACACGCCATGACCAAAACAATTGTTTTGCACTTGTGCTTACATTATTATTACAGATTTATTATTAACTCATAAAAACAACTGTACTGTCTCTTTCAACAGTTTATTTTTACATGATTTCAGTACTGTCTCTTTCAACAGTGTCTTTTTCCTTCCTATTGATACAGCTCTTTATCATTAACCATTTGGGCTTCTCATAATCTTATCTAATGCGCCACACGCCATGACCAAAACAATTGTTTTGCACTTGTGCTTATATTATTATTACAGATTTATTATTAACTCATAAAAACAACTGTACTGTCTTTTTCAACAGTTTATTTTTACATGATTTCAGTACTGTCTCTTTCAACAGTGTCTTTTTCCTTCCTATTGATACAGCTCTTTATCATTAACCATTTGGGCTTCTCATAATCTTATCTAATGCGCCACACGCCATGACCAAAACAATTGTTTTGCACTTGTGCTTACATTATTATTACAGATTTATTATTAACTCATAAAAACAACTGTACTGTCTCTTTCAACAGTTTATTTTTACATGATTTCAGTACTGTCTCTTTCAACAGTGTCTTTTTCCTTCCTATTGATACAGCTCTTTATCATTAACCATTTGGGCTTCTCATAATCTTATCTAATGCGCCACACGCCATGACCAAAACAATTGTTTTGCACTTGTGCTTATATTATTATTACAGATTTATTATTAACTCATAAAAACAACTGTACTGTCTTTTTCAACAGTTTATTTTTACATGATTTCAGTACTGTCTCTTTCAACAGTGTCTTTTTCCTTCCTATTGATACAGCTCTTTATCATTAACCATTTGGGCTTCTCATAATCTTATCTAATGCGCCACACGCCATGACCAAAACAATTGTTTTGCACTTGTGCTTACATTATTATTACAGATTTATTATTAACTCATAAAAACAACCGTACTGTCTCTTTCAACAGTTTATTTTTACATGATTTCAGTACTATCTCTTTCAACAGTGTCTTTTTCAACTAATTCATTACTGTCTCTTTCAACAGTGTCTTTCAACTATTTCATTATTGTAGTAGGCTCATACACACACTAACACACTTATATTATTATACCGATACTTACACAATACAAATAATTATAAAACACCAATATACGATATTTATGTTAAGAGTTATGTTAAACCTATGTTAAGTAACATGAACTGTAAGAGAATCTCTCCGAGAGGTCATTTCTGAAACTTGGAGTGTGAGCGAGTGGTAGCATTAAGACGTGTGAGAATAAAGAATAGTTAAACACCTACCACAAATTCAGAAGTGGTCAAATCTACGCCATGAACGAGAATAATTTGAACCAATTTACGGTCGTCCAGCTGAAAAGATGGCTTTCAGCATTGGGCTTATCAACCCAAGGTGTTAAAACCGAGTTGATGGCTCGTCTAGGGCAGATACCGCCAGAACAACGAGGTCAAGTACCAGAGGCAGAAGTTGACCAAAATGCTGGAGAAGATCAAGCTGGCGTCTCTGGAACAGAACGTGAAGAGGTTAACACCAACCCTGAAAGGGCATCGCAGGCACAACAGGATGGCGTCTCCGGCGATGTTGCAGACCTGGACGACCTTCTAGAAATTATCACGCAGCTGCAAACAACAATTATTGCGCAGCAGAATGCGTTGCGGCGAGCGGAGACGCGTGGCGCCATGCAGCAACAACAGTTAGAAGGGATCGCCATACAACAACAGCAACAGCAGGCTGAAACTTGCGGTACCATACAACAACAGCAACAGCAGGCTGAAACTTGCGGTACCATCCAACAACAACAACAACAGGCAGAGACACACGTTGCGCGCGAACAGCCAATTGGAGATGCATCAGATGGCAACGCCAGCAATCCAACTTCAATCGCTATAGGAAACGGATTAGGTGGCAACGTGGAAGGTGAACGGAATGAAACACAGGGAGTTCCATCGTCCAGGGCTGGATCAGCAGCTTCACTCTCGTTTGCCAGAGAAGCTGCCATCGACTTCGACGGAAACATTTGTGCACGCAACTGGGTGGATCACCTTAAGAAAATAGGCCAAATCTACAACTTAGATAATGACTGCCTAAGAATGCTACTCGTTACCAAATTAAAAGGTAATTGCCAGCGTTGGCTGCACGCCAACCCATCCCGAATACTAGATTCTTTTGAACGAATGTGCGAACAACTAATCATAGCATTTGGAAACACGGCGTCCAAATCAGAGCGTCGCCGCAAATTCGAGCAACGGAAATGGCAAAAGGACGAGAGATTCACACTGTATTTCGAGGATAAAACAATGATGTCCCAAGCCATCAACATGGACACTGAGGAACTGCTCGAACAACTCATCGAAGGAATCCCATCTGCAAGTTTGCGTGATCAAGCCCGTATTCAAAGGTTCGCAAATCCGGAGCAGATGCTGCTAGCATTTGCCAATATACGTCTTCCACAACAGCCCGGAACATACGCACCCAAGAAGTCGACGTTGGAAGCGACACAGATCAACAACTTGCGCTGCAGGAACTGCAACTCGAAGGGCCATTTCGCCAAGGAATGCCGCAAGCCAGCAAGGGCACCTGGACCTTGTTTCGCATGCGGAGAAATGGGTCATTTTGTGGGAGAATGCCGCCAGAGGAAGAGCAACACCTACAACAATAGCAACAACAACAACAACAATAGCAACGACAACAACTATGTAAGAAAAGTAGTAATTTTTTTCGATCACCACCTCAATTCACATATTATTGCAGAATGTCTCATAGACTCAGGAAGCGCGATATCATTCATTAAGCAGTCCAGAATTCCAGCTGCATTATCATTAAGTAACGTTAACCAAGTTTATCATGGGCTGAACCAGAGCCAACTTAACATTTTTGGAAAAACTTCATGTTTCGTTTTAAAAGAAAAATTAAAGATTAAATTTGATATGATTGTTGTAGCAAATGAATCTATGAGGCACGACGCAGTCCTGGGAAGGGACTTTATGAATCTTTATGGTTTGAGCATGAATCTCGACACTCTTGAAACTTATGGAAATATTAATGACTTATTAAAAATAGATGCCCATGGCTCAAACCTAACACCTGGGAAAAAGGATCAACAACTAGCAATTACCGCAGAAGCCAACTGCGATTCCAACGAGAATTTTAACGAGACCGTTAGGGAAAAATCTTTAGAAAATGAAACGACTGGCGAAAAAGTTTGTAAAAATGAAAAACTGTTAGGAAAGGCAACTGTTAATGAAAAACTGTTAGGAAAGGAAACTGTTAATCAAAAATTGTTAGGAAATACAACTGATAATGCAAAGTTTTTAGAAAATGAATTCATTAATGGAAAATGGTTAAGAAATGCAAATATTAATGAAAAATTTGTAGGAAATGAATCGATTAATGAAGAATTGACAGGAAATAAATATTTTAATGAACGATCAGAGGCAACTATAGAGAGAAGTTTGCCAGAAAAGACAAGTAGTACCGGAAAAAGTTTAAGAGAGACTGTTAACGGTGTTCAACTGGAAAATGAGAATATTAATAAGCAACAAACTATTAGAAATGGGTCAACACACAGGCAAAGGAAAACAGAGATGCCTCGAGGTGAAAAAACAGAACATTTTGAAGACAGTTTTGAAAGAGATATGTTAGATATCAACGTAGCTGATGATCAGTTTGTAGACTACAACTGTGGGAGCGATGTAAGCTATCAAACGAAATGTAAATGTTTGAAGAATATTATGTCAACGCTAAAAGACCAGATACTCCTTTAACAAGATGCGAAATGAAAATTAGTTTAGACAAATCCAAACCTTTCAGTTGTTCACCAAGGCGACTTTCTTTTACTGAAAAGGATCAGCTTCAAAAATTATTAGACGAATATTTAGACAATGGAATTATAAGGAACAGTGATTCAGAATATGCTTCTCCCATTGTACTGGTAAAGAAAAAAACAGGAGACTTGCGTTTATGTATAGACTATCGAAAATTAAACAAAGTTTTAATAAAGGACAATTATCCATTGCCTTTAATAGATGACCTTCTAGACAAATTAGTAAATAAAAGTGTATTTTCAAAGCTCGACTTGAAAAATGGTTACTTTCACGTATTCGTTAGCGATGAGTCAGTAAAATATACTTCGTTTGTCACTCCATTAGGACAATTTGAATTTTTAAGGATGCCTATGGGCATTAAGAATGCATCAGCAGTATTTCAACGCTTTGTAAATAAAATTTTTGCGGATTTGATACGGGAAAATAAAGTAATCATATACATGGATGACATTATGATAGCAAGCAAAGATGTGGAAGAACATTTAAGGACTTTAAAAGAAGTTTTAATAAGATTAGTTAACAATAAGTTAGAGCTTCGTATGGACAAATGCGAGTTTATGCAATCCAACATAAAGTACCTAGGTTTTTTTATTACCAAAGAAGGAATCAGAGCAGACGACAGAGGTATTGATGTAATTAAAAATTTCTCAATTCCCGAAAAAGTACATAACGTACAAAGCTTTTTAGGACTATGTTCCTATTTTAGAAGGTTTATAAAAGATTTCTCCACATTAGCTAATCCACTTTATGACACTTTAAGGAAAGACAAGGAATTTTCTTTCCAAGAAAGAGAACTAGACTGTTTCTTGAACCTAAAAAAAAAAACTAATAGAATCACCTGTTTTAGCCATATATAATCATAAAGATGAGGTTGAATTACATTGCGATGCAAGCGCTATGGGTTTCGGTGCGGTTTTATTGCAAAGGAAGGGAGATGGAAAACTCCATCCCGTATTCTACTTTTCAAAGCGAAGTACAGAGACTGAGGCAAAATACCACAGCTTCGAGCTGGAAACCCTTGCTATCATCTATGCCCTGCGTAGATTTCGAATCTATCTTCATGGTAAACATTTTAAAATAATAACCGACTGCAATTCCTTAACTCTGACATTAAACAGAGTCGAACTAAATCCTAGAATCGCCCGATGGGCACTTGAACTGCAGAATTATGATTATGAACTAATTCATAGATCCGGAACAAAAATGCAACACGTAGATGCTCTGAGCAGATGTTATATTTCAATAGTAGAAACCACTAGTTTTGAGGACAATCTTTTAATCTGTCAATCAAAAGATATCGATATACAGAAAATTAAGGAAGAATTAGAAAAAAATCAACTCAAACATTTCGAAATGAGAAACGGCGTTGTGTACAGAAAAACGAATGACGATCGTTTACTATTTTTTGTCCCTGAGGACATGGAACGACACGTCTTGCATAAATATCATAATGAACTTGGTCACGTTGGTAGAGACAAGATGATAGATGCAATTTCAAAGAGTTATTGGTTTAAAAATATTAAGGAAAAATGCAAGAATCACATTGAGAATTGTTTAAAATGCGTAGCATTCTCACCAAATACTGGAAAATCAGAAGGCTTTTTACACAGTATCCCCAAAGGAGACAGGCCGTTTGATTTGTTGCACATCGATCATTACGGACCAGTGGCAGCAGGAAGAGCAAACAAGCACATTTTCCTAATCATAGATGGTTTTACGAAATTCGTTAGACTTTATACAACAAAGACAACAAGCACAAAAGAAGTAATTAAAGCTTTATCCGATTATTTTAGAGCGTATAGCAAACCAAAATGTATAGTTTCAGATAGAGGCAGTTGTTTTACATCTAATGAATTTAGTGAATTTTTAACAGAAACAAACATCAAACATTTGAAAATAGCGACAGGTTCTCCACAAGCAAATGGTCAAGTGGAACGCATAAACAGGAGCATAGGGCCCATGATAGCCAAATTAACGGAGCCTGAAAATACTGTACATTGGGATAATGTAATCGAACAAGTTGAACATGCACTTAATAACACTGTACACAGAAGTATAAGACAAATTCCTAGCAAAATGCTGTTTGGTGTAGAGCAGAGAGGTCAGATTATTGATGAATTTAGGGATAAGTTAGAAGAAATTAACAACACAGCCCGAGTAGAGAATTTGGATGAGATTCGAAAACTGGCAATAGAGAAACAAATACAAGCGCAGAAATACAATGAAACATATTATGATAAGACAAAGAAAAAGCCAAAGGATTACACGAAAGGAGATTACGTAATGGTAAAAAATTTTGACAGCACTGCGGGAGTTGCTAGGAAGTTGATCCCAAAAAACAAAGGCCCATATACAATTGCTAAAGTGCTTCGCAATGACAGGTTCTTACTAAAGGATGTTGAAGGTTTTCAAGTGTCTCGAAATCCATACAAGGGTGTATGGAGTGCTCAAAACATAAGACCCTGGATAGGAAAACGAAAAAATAAATGAAGAAAATACATGTAACTAAACACTGTCTTAGTATAAGATAGATATAAGAGTAATTTGTCAAAATTGTTTCCAAAAGAAACCAGGATCAGGGGATCCGTATTACAGGATGGCCGAATTGTAGTAGGCTCATACACACACTAACACACTTATATTATTATACCGATACTTACACAATACAAATAATTATAAAACACCAATATACGATATTTATGTTAAGAGTTATGTTAAACCTATGTTAAGTAACATGAACTGTAAGAGAATCTCTCCGAGAGGTCATTTCTGAAACTTGGAGTGTGAGCGAGTGGTAGCATTAAGACGTGTGAGAATAAAGAATAGTTAAACACCTACCACATTATTGTCTCTTTCAATAGTTTCTGTTTATTTTTTTCATTACTGTCTCTTTCAACAGTTTATTTTTAGATGATTTCATTACTGTCTCATTCAACAGTTTATGTTTCAATTACATTATTTAAATCCTTATTACAACTTTCAAATTCAACTGGTATTTGAGCATTTGGCATTTTTCCTATGTCATCTGAGCATATTTATATTTTCTATTAATTGTCAAAGACCTGAGCATATATCTATCCCCCTCTCACAATTCAGTTATTTGAAACGGCCCCCTAAACTTTGGATTCAACTTTGTTTGATGCCTCTCTTCATTTTTTAACAATACGAAATCTTCAACCAACAATTTTAGCCTTGTTTTTATCAAATTGTTATATGTTGCTGCAGCTGGAATATTTTGATCTTCTCGTGAAGTAATTCTGCCAGGTCGACCTCTTCTACCATATCGCATGGTGGAAGCAACCCCAACAGGCGAGCAACTTTGCCGATAAACAATTCAAAGGGGCTTGCTTTTGTCACTCGACTTACCTTAAAGTTCAAGGCTAATTGAAATTCTCCTAATGCATCTTGCCAATATCGATTGCTAGTTTCAACGGCCGTTAATAAGTTCTTTAAGGTGCTCATAATGCGTTCAACTTGACCATTAGCCCTACTTGCACCTGTCGCAATCAAATGCAAATTAATTTTTTGTTTTGAACGAAGCTCACTAAATCTAGTGCTGGCGAAACATCTGCCTGATCCGCTACTATGCGATTTGGTACTCCAAACAGAGAAATTTCAATTTAGTGAAAGCGTCCACCGGAACAATGATATATTCCTTTTGATCAGACTTGCCACTCAATTTCCCAGTTATGTCGATGTGAATGGTGTGCCAAGGTGTATTTACTTTTGGTATTGGATGAAGACTTACTTGAACTTTACCCGAAGAAGACTTTGACATTTTACATGTAATGCAGTTATACTTGGACATATTATCGAACCAGTAATAGTCATAGGCCTTATCTAAAGTCTTCTCCCATCCCAAATGCATGATG